ATCTGCCAAATGTCTTTTTTTTGGGGGGGAAAGGATTTCAAATTAGTCACTTAAGCAGTCCTTTACTAGTGTAAAATAAAGTTCACCTAATATCATTACACCATAGGAATAGCTGTATTGCTCAAAAAAACATAATCCTGATATATAGCACAATTATTTTAGAACTATCATCACACATTTATTGAGTGTCTATATACCCAGCACAGTGAAAGATATAACTTTAAAAAGGGGGGGGGGCGGGGACTCCTGCTGTCAGTTTTTAAAGACAGTATATAGAAAGTCAAAATTATTCTATATTTCCAAGCAATTAAAATAGGGATAGAGAGAGAATGGTACCAGATGGCAGACTCCTCTGCTTTCATCTTTAGGAGGGAAAAAAAAAGTGACAGTAACAATTCAAATTTAACTGAAAGAGATTTCCAAACTCAAGGTAGAATATAATACCACCTGGCACATAATATACGTGATAGAGATATGTGAAAAGAATGAATATGATTGTAGTCAAATTTAACTTAAAGTCTAAGCAGAATTCCCACTTTAAATAACTCTCTTTTCCTTACATAGATATTCAGATCTGACCAGAGCAATATCCTTAGAGACCCAAGAGATCTGGCGTTTTACTTCTTCATTAGGGACTGAAAAAGGACCACCTTTGGCTTTCTGACCAGCCATTTCATTCATGGCGTCAACAGTGGATGGCAGCGACGTGGAAATGTATGCTGGATATTCGGATGGTTTAAATATTAGGTACAATCAATAGCTTATAACCAGTGAAAATAGTAAGAACATAATTCAGTGTTAAGTGTCCAAGATAAGATACAAAAAGGCAGAGAAAGTGCTTAAGTCTACAGGTCTTCCCTGAAAGCTTCAAAAATGTTTAACTCTTTAAGTAGGTAGGGCTTTTAATAGAATTTGCATAGCAGCTTACAAGATAATCTGCATTAAAAATATGGAGATTCTTCCATGTTTTTGAAAACACACAAATATATCCACATGCATATAAATTAAACAAGAAGACCTGGAGGTTCTCACAAAATTAAAAAAAAAAAAATCCACCATAACCTTTTCTCAAAAGTGGTCACACTTTTGTCCATCAAAACCATTTACAGTGAAACCTGTTTTTCTGGGAGAAACATAATCTTGTCCAGATTCCACACAGTTTAATTTTTTCTTAAAGAATAAATTTTGGTTTATTAGCTAAGTGCATTTAATCAGCTGAAAAAAACCTTTGTTACCATTCTGCTTAGGAGGTAAGTTAAGAAAACAATCAGTAACAACTTTAATCATTTGTTGGTTAGAGAGATTTTTACACTTATAAAAATATAAGAAATAAATAATTCAGGGACTGGCCCGGTGGCGTAGTGGTTAAGTTCACGTGCTCCTCTTCAGCGGCCTGGGGTTCATGGGTTCGGATCCTGGGTGCGGACCTACACACTGCTCATCAAGCCATGCTGTGGCAGTATCCCACATACAAAAAATAGGGGAAGAGTGGCAACAGATGTTAGCTCAGGGCCAATCTTCCTCACCAAAAAAAAAAAAAAAAGAAAGAAGTAATTCAATCTCTCCTGCCATGCAATAATTTTCAATAACAAAGTTTGTGAGACTACAGATGATAAAAACAGGCACTATCAGACTTTACCTTGCCTAAAAAGTGCTAAAACATGGCTCTAAAATAGGTGAATGACATTTAAAGTAACATTTTTGATTGCCTGTACATGTCCCAATATTTAACCTGAAACTCTGTCTACTAGGTAGGTGAATTTACAGTTACAACTATCTAATAAATACTGCATAAACATAAAGTATTTCTTCATATAAATTTTAGATACTAATTTCCAGGTAAGGCTTGTTTGATGATTACAGGAAAGGAATTACCTTTTTCAGAAAAAGAATAATTGAGTATTTTTTTTTCCTTTGGTTCCTTTCCCTTTTTTTTGGAGAGGAAGGAGAGAAGTTTTAGGGAAAGAGGAGGAAGAATTTTCACACTCCAATTGGCTGCTGATAGGCGTCTGTGTGGAATATGGAGAAGATGTCTAACCCCAGGTTTTGGGGGCACAGGGAGTGGTCCATCAGAACTAGGGGGACACTACTTTGCAGTTTCCTTTCCATTCTACACATAGAAGCCTACAACATTCTCAACAATTTTCCTAATTCAAAATGAAAAAGAAATGAAAAGTTAGCTGTTCTATAAAAGATATGAAATATTAAAAATGCTCATTTTAGTTATCATTTGAAAATAATTTGCCACATTTTGGCATCTAAATACAAAATATATTTATCAAGGCTGTCCTATTCATAAAAAGCACTTCATTTGTGGTTTGAAAATCCCACAAACACACTTAATTGAAGAACAACCTGGTCACCCATGATTGGAAAGCTCTTGAAGTATGTTAAACGAGCAGCTTAAGAGCTCTTGCTCTTGGGGGAGCTAGTGGTCACAGGAAACCTCCCATACACCTTCATTCCATACCAAGGCTCAAAAGATATTAAAAACCCTATGGACCTTGGTGCTGTCCATGACAGCTGAAGCTTGAGCAAAATGAGCCAAAAGGCACACACGCCTTACCTCTCCTGCCCACATTTTAATCTTACCTTTTTTACAGATCTTTTTTATATAACTAATGAGCAGGGTGGCTCACAAGTTCCCCCTGAAAATCTTCTCAGTGGCTTAGCCTTTCACACTAATACAGAAAACCTCAACCAAATGGTTTTACTGCAAAAGTCTGACTGAATCGTTCAACTTCTCAGATTAAAAATACTCTCACTGCAAAGAGTGTCTAAGCTCCCTTATCTGAGGGTATTATGTGTTGAAATTCTGTTCAGAAATCATAGCTGGACCTTCAAGATATATATTTTTTTCTTCCTTGATTTGTAAACTTATCCCAGATGTAACCAAACTTAGGGTTATGAATTTTCAAAACATAAAAAGCTCTTGAAAGATATTCTAGTCTAGATTTCAATTTCCAGTTTTAAGTGGATCACATAAATCATTTTTGGGACTGGAGCTGGAGGAAGAACAAACACCTCTCCCCAGCCCCTGCATATGGTTAATCTCACTGTACTTGGGAAGGAGGACTGACTTCTGGGCAGAGGGAAGACAATGGGGTTACAACGTCTAACTAGAACTCTCGCTCATGAGTCTGCTCTTTCACATGTCTCACCTGTAGGTCAGTGTGCACTCAAACCAAATAGCTCATGTTTTGCATATACGGTTTTTTTTTTTTTTGTGAGGAAGATCGGCCATGAGCTAACATCTGCCAATCCTCCTCTTTTTTGCTGGGGAAGACTGGCCCTGGGCTAACATCCATGCCCATCTTCCGCCACTTTATATGGGATGCCGCCACAGCATGGCTTGCCAAGTGGTGCGTTGGTGCGCGCCTGGGATTCGAACCAGCGAACCCCAGGCTGCTGCAGCGGAGCGCGCGCACACAACCACTTGCACCACCGGGCCAGCCCCTGCATATATGGTTCTGAGTTGTTTTTTTTCTTATTTGGAGTACTACCCTCCTCTACCCTCTGTAGTGCTCACATCCTCTTAGGGTACTCCTGATAAATCTAGTAAATGAGAACTACTGCTAGACCTTTCTTCAGAGGGCACAGAGAACATCCAAGTCAATACTACCTTTTCTTTCAGATCCAGGGACTGTGCTAATCTTGACATTTTATATAGCTATTATACATTTTAAACGTTTTCAGATATATACCTCCTTCATAATTAGGAAAAACAAGTGAGTGTGATTCTTTACCAAAAATCAGCAATCTTACTGCTACTATGTCCTAATGATGATGTCTGGCAATGCCTAGCAAAACCCAGGTAGCTGTTCCATGGTCTTGTCACCCTGTCCACTGTAGGATGCGTTACTAAGCCAACACCGAGTCTTCAATTAGCAGCTGCTTGTCCGTGCCACCCTGCTGCCACAAGGGAGAGGGGCAGGACCAGGATCCTGCATGGGCACACACAGCCCAAAGCAAGTTGACATGATGTTTGTGCTGAAGAGCTGGCTTCATCCACCAAGTCTACTCTTTAAACAAGCTGGCACTCCAGAATTTATCTTCCTTAAAGAGATCTGCCCACTAGAAAAGATACCACTAAGGAAACCCTCCTCAAAGACTATTCCTCAAAACAAGGATAGATGATCTCCCTGGAATGGCAGTGATATCCAGTTATTCAAACAATGACTAATAAAGCTCCACTAACCCTAACCAAAGGCACATATGGTAAGCAATAAAAAATGACTTAGGCTAAAATGAGGATTTTCTTTTAAAATAAATCTTATAATATCCCCTGGCTCCCACCAAAGATAAAATCAGAAAAATCTAAAACAAGCAAAACTTTTCCTTCAAAGCAGTGGTTTCCAACCTGGTTTTCAACTTGGTCACCACTAGAAAGGGAGTGGAAGGCAAGGCAAATCAAATTTCACAAGTTCTAAGTCCTAAAGTTAGCACTTATGAGTGGCAAAGCTTGTGCTGCAGGGGGAAGTGATGGCTAGAGTGGGATGTAGTGAGAGCCAGGACAGATGGACGAATGCTTTGGTGACACAATTCAAGGACTTCCTAGGGTGGAAGGAGCAAGTGAGGACAGTAAACTCCAACCAAATGTACGGCCTCCCTGGAATGACCAAGAAACACGGGCTGCTGCAAACTAGCACCTGGGAAGAGACAGTCTTCCTAAGCAAGAGATCAAGGCTAAGTCGGAAACAAATCCTACAGGAAAAAGAAAAAGAAACCAACACTTGGATATTTGATTATGTCCAAAAAGCAAAACAATGAGCCACCTTTCTTAACGGGGGAAATAAACCTAATTACTTAGAAACCACATGAGGAAACTAGACAATAAATCAATAGCTTCATTTTGGAGCTTATTAGAGTCCTAGAATTTCTGGCCAAGGTAGCTTGTGAAAGGCAGGCTTTGCTTTAAACATGGTTCAGCAGTGATTTGCAGGTCCTTGTCAAGGCACTGTGCTGGAGGAGAGAGCAAAGAGCTTTCTTTTTGTGCTTTTTTTTTTTTTGAGGTGGAAATACTTCTTGTGACATTCAAGGCTCTTTTCTGATATTCTGCTGCTCATACAAGCAGTCCCATGCGAGTGACTTTGGCCGACAGGAACGTGTGCAACACGAATACAATCGGCTTTGGACAAGAGTGCAGGTCCATGGTCTGTGGAGAAAGGACATTAATTATCACTACCATAGACAGACGCTTTTTAATAAACAAACATGCAAAATAAAAAATTTGGACATGATATTCTACTTTTTAAGAAGAACTTGGATAAAGAATGTGCCAGATTTATGGAAACTTGGAAACTTAAAGCCACAAATAAACGTGTACTCTGAAGTAAGGTTATTCCATGTTGTAATTAAACGCTACTGTGAAGTTTCATATCCACAATTAGAATACAATTGGTGGTGTACTAGATTCCACCATGCCTGGTAGGAAGAACTAAAAAGTAGAGGATGTACAAAAAAGAGGAATATCCTATATGGAGACCATTAATTGTAATTATATTTCCCAGGGGAACCACAGTGAACTCAGTTGAAGTGTGACCATCTATGGGTCTGACTTTTCTTTTTTTCTTTGTTTTTTTTTTGTGAGGAAGATCGGCCCTGAGCTAACATCTGCCAATCCTCCTCTTTTTTTGCTGAGGAAGACTGGCCCTGGGCTAACATCCATGCCCAT